GACAGGGTTTCTCTGTGTAGCTTTGGAGCCTATCCTGGCACTCGCTGTGGAGACCAGGCTGGCCTCAAACTCACAGAGATCTGCTGGCCTCTGCCTCCTGAGTGCTGGGACTAAAGGCGTGCACCACCAACGCCCGGCCAGGCTCAATATTGTGGGGTAAAAATGAAAAGAAAAACAAACCCAATAACAATAACAACAACAAAAGCCACAGGTAAAATCTTCCCCTCAACTGGAGAAGCAGAAATACTATTAGTCAACAAAATTGTGCATAACCCTGACCCACAAGTACTGAGAACATAGTTGTAGTCATAGTTCTTTACAGCTGTGGCAGCAGCATAAACAGAAGGCTACGTCATACACAGTGTGACTTGCTTCAAGTCACAGACAGCATTCCATATAATGCACACCTATTATATTAAAGTAAGCAACACTTAGAGTCACATTGCATTTGTAAAACATGACTAGAAACATCCTGGGGAAAGTATAAACACATGCCAAAGAAGACAAATGCATGTGTTATAGTTGAAGCAATAAATTATTGCTTTTTATTACTTGTTAGCAGACTGTGATTCCAAATTTTACTTATTTGTCAGTGTGGTTACATGAATATAGTGGCAGATTATTTAACCACCTAAAGTTTATTTATATCCTATACAAGACATGTAAATATGCAAACATACTTGACTAATCTCTTTAGTTTAAATGATCTCAATGCAAAGTAATGCAAAAAGATATTCTCAATTACATAATGGATAACAAAGTAGAATAATATGAAAATCAACTCAAACCTCAGTTTTCTTTACAGTTTAATAATGCAGTAACTGCAGAATTAAAACTCTTGACTGACCTCTTGTGGTCAAATGATTTAAAACAACAACAAAAAATTAGCAGGCTTTACCATCATCAAAATCATCTTCAGTTATCCACCAAGGCACTGTGTCTTTCTTCTTCATTTCTTTCTTAGGTTGTTTAGATGTTTTGTTTGAACTTTCAAAAGAATCATCTGAAAGCTGAATTAGATACAAATTGATAAATTTTAAAATACATTTCAAATTATAAAATCCCAGATATAACATATTTTTCTCTCACAGTTCAATTGTCACATGAACAATAGTCTAAGAAATAATGTGCAAATTCCATTTCCAGACACAGGTGGCCAAGCTTCAAAATCAAGCATATATCTTTGAATACTGATTTCATCTCTAGAATAAAACAAGTAAGGTACCATACTCACTCATATATGGATTTTAGACAAAGGATTACCAGCCTACAATCCACACTGCCAGAGAAGCTAGTAAACAAGGAGGACCCTAAGAGAGACATACATGGTCCCCTGGAGAAGGGGAAAGGGACAAGTTCTCCTGAGCAAATTGAGAGCATTGGGGGAAGGGAGAGAGAACTAGGAGAATGAAAGGGGAGAAGAGGAGGGCTGAGGAGGACATGATGGGGCAGGGAAGTTGAGCTGGGAGAAGAACAGAAGAGAGCAAGATAAGAGATAATAAAATAGAGGGAGACATTATAGGTTTAAAGAGAAATCAGGCACTAGGGAAATGTCTGGAGAGCTTCAAAGATGACACCAACTAACAATCTAAGCAACAGAGAAGAGGCTACCTTAACTGTCCTCTCCTGATAATGAGATTAATGACTAATTCATATGCCATCATATAGCCTTCACCCAGCAGCTGGTGGAAGTAGAAGCAGACACCCACAGCTAAACCTTGAACTGAACTGAAATCCAGATGCAGAGAAGGAGGACGGATGAGCAAAGGGGTCCATACCAGGCTGATGAAACCCACAGAAACAGCTGACCTGAACAACGGGGAGCCCTTGGTCCCCAGACTGATGGCTGGGAAACCAGCATGGAACTGATCTAAACTCCATGAATGTGGGTGTCAGTGAGGAGACCTTGGAAATCTATGGGGCCTCAGTACTTATCCCTAGCATAGGAATGGACTCTGGGAGCCCATCCCACATGGAGGGATACTCCCTGAGCCAAGACACAAGGGGATGGGCCTAGGCCCTATTCCAAAGGATATGACAGACTTTGAAGACCCACCTACAGAAGGCCTCACCCTTTCTGGGGAGCAGATAGGGAATGGGATAGGTAGGGTATTAGTTGAGGGGGGCAGGGGAGGAAGGGAGGGAGAGGGACCTGGGATTGGCATGTAAAATAATAATCTTTCTAATTAAAATTAAAAAAAAAAAAAAAAGAAAATGGCCTAAAGGGAGTGGCACTACTAGGAGGTGTGGCCTTGTTGGAAGAAGTGTATCACTGGGGGTGAGCTCTCAGGTTTCAAACGCTCAAGCCAGGGCCTGTATCATTCTCTCTTCCTGCTCTCAGCTACCTCTCCAGCACTATGTCTTCCTGAATGGCACCATACTTCCTGCCACAATGATAATGGACTAAAACTCTGAAACTGCAAGCCAGCTCCAACTAAATGTTTTCCTTTATAAGAGTTGCAGTGGTCATGGTGTCTCTTCACAATAATAAAAACCCTAAGATAGGCACAACAACAAAATATGAAAATATGATCAACATACTTGCTTATAAAACAAAGGATAAAATCCTATATTCTGGGCATTTTCGAGGGTCTAAGAACAAGGGACAATTTAGCAAACTTATTACAATGGCTCTAGAATCCAGAGTCTAGAGTCTGAATGGGTGGAGATGTGACCACAGAAATTAATATTTTGCCCTAAATATTAACCAAAATGTCTGTATTCATCCCTTTCTACTCATTAGTTATTATTTTTACTAAAATTCTGAATCTCTTTTTCTAACCCCCTCCCCCATCTAGCCAACAATGTAGCCTCCCTCTTCTGAGAACACAGAACTAAACATCCCCCTTCTCCTTATCTGGCCTCTAAGCTCTCATTCTGTGAGGCCCTTCTCCCCACTTCAGAGACACCATTCTTTTCCTGTGCTCTCGTGAACCTGCAGCAGCGTCCTCCTTAGCAACCCACTCAACTCTCTAGAATTACCTCCTTAGTTTCCTCTCCTCCCACTTTGCTGATAACCTAGCAAATAGTACCTGGAGCAACTGTGGGTTAAGGGAGGAACACTGGAGTGAGGGGATACAGGATGAGTTCCACATCTCTACTCTCTTGTACTCTACCTAGCTTTTTCCCTTTACACAGCAATTCTTGTATTAACTTCCCAGTCCCATAAAATGTGGTTTCATCCCAAACGGTTTCCTCTGGGACTGGAAAGCTTTCTAAATGCCTGCTGAAAAGAAAATGTGATCAGTCCCCCGCTGACCACATTATGGAAACCTCCTGAAATGCTCTACCTATGAATTGGGGAGCATCCTTCTACTAGGTTCCTTTTCACTTCTGTGCCCCCCACACAGCTAGTTAACAGTTAGGGGCTCCTGAGCCCACTCCTTCAACGTTGAGATTTCTCCTAGACTAAGTTCTTCATCCATTTTCATTTTTATTCTACTACCCACCTTCCCCGACGCCACAGGAAGAAATCATGTTTATCACATGCCTTCCCAGTGTCAGGATCTGTACCTGGTTTATCTCACTTAATCTTTAAACAACCTTGCAGAGATTGCTAATGAGGAACTGAAACCCAGAGGGAAACACTGCCTCAGTTACAACTGATAAGGGTGATACCAAGTGATACCAAATTAACTGAGGACTCCCCCTAGGTCCCTCTCCTTCTCACTACTTCATACAGTCATCCAATTAGGATGATATCAGAGTGACTATCTAAACTTCCAAGATGACATATTTTCACCTGCCAAACAGAAATGGTATCTCAACAGCTTGATAGAGTTTCAATTTTTAAAATGTTTAAAAAGAATTCACTGTCTTCCAGGAAGAAAACGGGGAAGGTAGAAGGAAAAAAGAAAAGAAAAGAAAACAAAACCAAAAACCGGCTTTATTTCAATCTGAATTTCTGGTATCTCTACCACTTTCCAGTTTGTCTTTAAACATTGCCACAACATTGAAACATTCTATTTCTTGCCCTCTGCCCCTGTTTCTCTGTCTACACACAGGGATAGAACCATTGCTCATTCAGATCTGTGGCAAAGATCAGAAAGACAAAAGATGAGGACCCACTCTCCAATACATTGGAGGTGTTCTGCCTCTTAAAATCTTCTACACTACTTCCCAGGTTATTGCCACTAAACAAAAACAAAAGGCCTGGCCCCTCAGATAGTATCGGTATTTAGGAAAGATAATGAAAATTAGACCCTTCATAAATTAATATGCTGTTAGTGGGAATAATAGCATATGACACAGCAATTTCACTTCTAGGCAAATATTCAGAAGAAATTAACATACATCCACACTCAAAGTTGCATGATCATTTACAGCAGCAGTATCACAACTATCCAAATTGGAAGGATCTCAAATGTCTGTTAACTGAAAACTTTTTTTGTTTTGTTTTGTTTTTTTGTTGTTGTTGTTTTGTTTTTTGAGACAGGGTTTCTCTGTGTAGCTTTGGAGCCTATCCTGGCACTCGCTCTGGAGACCAGGCTGGCCTCGAACTCACAGAGATCCACCTGCCTCTGCCTCCTGAGTGCTGGGATTAAAGGTGTGCGCCACCAACACCCGGCAACTGAAAACTTAATAAGCAAGATTCACTTATCCACAGAAAGGCAACATACTCACTAAAATGATATGATACCAAGACATGCTGTAACATAGATGAACCTTGAAAACACACTATGTAAAAGAAGCCAGACTTCAAAGACCACACACACTGCATAGTTCCATTTCTACGAATATCTGTAACAGCCAACTTGGGTACAAAAAAGCAATTTAGTGGTTGCCTAAGCTTGGGGAAGGACAAGGAGTTGAGAGTTAAAGGATAAGGGGTTTCTTTTCAGGAATGCATTCTATAACTGACTATGGTGAAGGTTATGTAATTCTAAAATAGTCATCATAACACATTTTAAATGGGTGAGTTGTATGTTTTGTGAATATCACTGAAGAAATCTATCTTTAAAAAATTGGGTTTAACTAATCTCCTAAAATCAGATACTGAAGCATCACATCTTTGTACAATATGTTTGTTCAACAATTTATCATAATGATCAAGGGAGTTGGCACGCTGAAAAACCATGATTTTCTGTGTCTATGTGTGTCTGCACATGCTTGTCACCTGAATGTTAATGTCATTGGGAACTGCTGGGATAGATTAGGTGCGATGATGGCACTGAGCTAACAGGTGCCAGCATTTGAAATGAGATGGAACCAAGGGCTGCGGGTATCTTCTGTAGGTGGGAGTTGAGGGAATGTGCTTGCTGGTGGGGTGGTTGTGTTTCAGATGGAAGCACTTAAGGATGGGACTTATGAGACAACTTCACAATAATAAAGCTTTAGAAGAAGGCTTGAACTTACCTCCTTCATAAATTGTTCAAATTCTTCATCAAGCTCTTCTTTGGAAAAGTGAAACATAGTCAGTAATTTTCACTTCACAAAGAAAGCATCCTAAAAGTCTTTAAGGCACTGGAAACACTGCATGACGAAAACAGAAAGAAAAAAAATAAAACCACCTCTTGAGGAAATCATCATTAAAACAATACTACATTAAATGTCAGAAAAATCTTATCCAGACAGTATATAATCACAATTGTGATATGCTAGTGAAGTCCTAATTCACTGAAGCAAACTGACTTGAGAAAGTAGCTTGTGAGGTCCATAATTACATTTCATCCAATAGTAAAGAGGTGGGCTCCAAGGTATTTTCCACTGTATATGTATTTGTCTCTGCTAATAGCTCTGAGAAACCAGGTCCTCACAAAGACTGTTAAAAAAAAAAAGAAAAGAAAAGAAAGAAAGAAGTGGAGACAGCACTTTTTTCTTTTCATTTTTTTTTTTTTTGCACTTTTTTTCTTGTAAAGCACAGGAAAGTTTGTGCTGCTTGATTAAGTCAGTTTTTTTTCAAATTAATGGTTTTGTAAAATAGATTTCCTACAAGCAGGGATGTTTCCAGACATAAACAAAGTAAATTTATAACACTCAGAATGCAATAAAGAATTTAGTGGTGCATACCTGAAATCCCTACAATAAGGGGACAGAAGGCTCTCTAGTTCGAGGCCAGCCTGGGCCCCATGTAGCCCCAGTTCCAGGTCAGTCTGAGCTACGCGGTGCTACTCTGTCTTAGAACACCCCAAATAAGCACAAATACCCGTGAAAGTTAATGATATGTGCTAATCATTATGAATTGTTTCTTTTGAAGCAAAGGTAGGCCAACATACACAATGCCCTGAACATCTTGAGTGTGATACAGCCAAGTTGCAGCTCCAAGCTCAACTCTTTCCCTTCGGTGAGACCATCCATCTTCAGTTCTGTCCTAATGTCCGGATCTAACTCCCTGGGGCAGCACAAAACCCTGGTTGCTTTTTTCTAAGGGACGGGAGCGGGAGGACTCGAGTCTATAATATCCCCTCCAACCTGCAGGGCAACACCTAATGCCTTTATTTGCATTTTTGACCAAAAGGTCCCAGGGTCAGGATAAGGGGTTGCACAAGAAGCTTGGTCTGAGGCGGACCCCACGAAGGGCCCTCAGTCCAGTGGTGTCCAGGTTGCAAGAAGCGCAGACTTGGGGGGCTGGAGCGAAGCAAAGACGCGTCCGACTTGCAGTCTGGACAGAGCAGCGGAGTAATGCACAAATACAAGTTTGGGGACCCGGCCTGGGGTACAACCTGGAAACACCGACAGGGTCGCAGGCGGCGACAGCACCTCACCTACCTGCTACCGGGAGCCCGCGCTTTCCCGGAAAGTCCCGGCAGGCTAGTTGTTGTCAAGGCAACATACGACAGTCACGTGACCCTGACGGCCACGTGACACAGGCAAGCAGCCAGACCAGTTGCCAGTCTCCCGGTGGCTTTGTAGGTGGGACAGAAACACCAGGCTCCGTAGGGTGCCACAGTCGGAAAGGGACGTGGGCACGGTCGTCCCGCTTTTCCTTCGCTCCCTGAACACCCGGGCGCAGCAAACCTGACGCAAGCGCACAATCCGGAGCCAGCGCGTGGCTTTCTGGGAGTTGTAGTTTAATCCGCCGGTGCTGTTCTTTCGACAGAGGGCTGCTCCTCTTTCCAAAGTCGTTGCCACCCTTTGCATTTGAACGCTCTTTTCTAGGTTGAACGTTTTAAAAACGATTTACTAGCTTGGATTTTCTTCACGTAGCAAGCCATGTGTGGGTGTTGTGAGAGACACACAAACCTAGTAGAAGTAATTCTAGTGTTAGGAGATGAGAGGTCCGCCACCTAGTGGACAAGCGTTTGAAAATACGCCATACCGAGATTCTCAGCCAGGCGCCACACTTGCACAGCAGTGACGGTTTTGCTGGTATCCCAGCAAAAGCTCTCTTCTACCGTGACTTGCTTGAGTTTTTGCGCTCTCTTTCTCCGTTCCCTCTCCCCACTCCCTTTCTTTCACTCTCTCGATACATATACACACAGACACGCTCTGCATCTCAGAGGGCACCGTTTAGGAATCTAAGTAAAATCTTCAAACAGTAGAGGTGTTTACCTCTCTCTGGTAGACATAATTCTGTACCTCCTTTCTATTTCCAAAACTTTCTAAAAATTCTGAACATTTTACTCAACAATATGTACTGCCGTCCAAGTGTGTACAAGCCAGAAGCTTTCCTATAAAAATATAGTAGAAATCTGTTTTAAGCTACCATTTATTGAGCACTTGGTGGGTGCTTCCCGCGCATTATTAAATTCTTACAATTGGCAGGCCAATTTCATTCAGTTTATGGTTTTCTTGAGTGCATATTGAGTGAACACAGTCCCCATCCTGTGTATATTGGTACTGTGAAACAGACAAGTAGCCCAGACAATTGCTAAAGGTAACAAACACTTCATGTAGACAAATCAAGAAAGTCTGGGGACTTTTCCACCCGAGGTCTAATTTCAGTATCATTCAACATACAGTTATTTTACCATTAACTGAGCATTCAGCCAGTAATTGAATGATTTGTACTAATAGATTCTGCCCCTCCTGCTGAATAAGACGACCATCAGATCTTGTTCTGATTCTGAAATCAGCAACCTTCACCATTTCACCGAGACTTTCCTGGAGGTTTGAATCACTGAAACGCCTACTGTGGTAGTCTGAATGTAATTGGCCCCCATAACCTTATAGGCAGTGGCACTGTTAGTCAGTGTGGCTTTGTTGGAGTGGAAATGGCCTTGTTGGAGGAAGCGCGTCACTGTGGGGCAGGCTTTGAGGTTTCCTCTGCTTAGATACTGCCCAGTGTCCCAGTCCATTTCCTGTTGCCTGCCAGATGCAGGATTCTCAGCTACTCCTCCAGCAAGCACCATGTCTGCCTGTATGTGGCCGTGCTCCCTGTGGTGATGATAATGGGCTGAACCCCTGAAACTGTAACCCAGCACCTCAATTCAATGTTTTCTTTATTAGAGTTGCTGTGGTCATGGCATCTCTTCACAGCAATAAAAACACTAAGACACTCCCCAAGTCTCAAGAACAACTTTAGTCCATTGCAAACCCATAGTTGTCGTACCTACCCCAGTCCTTCCTTCCTTCCTTTATTGATTCATCCTCTGATAGCACACAGCCATTATGAGAAGATGCCCTTGTCTGTCTCTCAGAATGGATTTCATGAGACTGTAATTTCTTCATTCTTTTCTCACTAAATCTGTGAGCCATGTCTGTCTGCACCATCCTGACCCACCTTTATCTATTTCAGTGACTCTCCTTTCCATCTTCCAACATATGACTTGGAGCTTCACCAGTTCTTACTGACCTTAAGCCTTAATGGCGATTGTCATGTCTCACTCTAGCTGTCGGTGGGAGTTAAAACATGCGGTGGGATCCTCTCTCTAAAATGCCACTTTCAAAATACTCATGTTGTTCTGTAGTCACCCGTTGTTGGGTGTTCTCTTTTCTCCAATCAGTCTACTCCAGGGAATTATTTTCACCTTATCCCTCTTTTGTTAGATTTTCCAATTTAGCGTCCACTCACACCAGGCTACTAAGACAATTCTTGGTGGTACCACTAATTTTATCAGAGTGTTGCTAGGTTGATGTAAAAGGGTTTCTACTACATAACTTTAGTTGATATCAAACTCCTGTTTGTTCTTGTTCTAAATTTCCTTTTGAGCTCTAGTGTTCTATATATGATTGATTACCCAATACACACACACACACACACACACACACACACACACACACTCACATGATATTATAGAAACATCCTAATGCAATGGAGGCCTTGCTATTTGTATGTGTGTATGCCTGTTCACCCCTCATGGGAGAACCCATGTGCACATGCATTTGGAGGCCAGAGGTTGATTGTTGATGTTCCCCCCTCTCTCTCTCTCTCTCTCTCTCTCTCTCTCTCTCTCTCTCTCTCTCTCTCTCTCTCTCTCACCCAAACTTACTGATTTGACTAGTCTAGCTGTCCAGCTTGCTCTGAGGATTTCCTATCTCTGCCTTCTTGAGTGGTGGGATTACAGGCAGGTTGCCACTCCCACCTAGCCTTCACATGGCGCTGGGGATCTCCACTCTGGTCCTCATGCTTTCACCACAAGAACTTTACACACTGAGTCCCCTCAGCCGCAGAAGCCTGCTTTTAGTCTCTTTCTATACCTATTTCTGTACCTATGTCTCTTTCTAGTTATACTCCCCATTGCACTATGTGGTACAGCCTGTAATTACTTGACAGAAATCTCGAAGTTTTCTCTTCCCTATACGTAATTGATAATATCAGTACTACTTTCAAACACGTCTCCTTTCTATTTGCTTTTGTAAGTCTTAACTGCAGATGTCTTGACCCAAAACATTATTTACTGAACTACTTTCCTAGCCTCCTACTTTGTCAGTTGTCCTCTAGACTATTGTTTGTTGCAGTGTCATGTCTTATTCTTTTGGCTCTTTAGTCTTTTGGACTCTTTTGGCGGACCCACCACCCAGCTCCCCCCAAAAGAATCACACACAGAGTATTATTATTACTTATAAATGCCCAGTCTTGGCTTGATTCTTGCCACTTTTTCTTATCTTAAATTATCCAGACTACTTTTTGCCTCTGGGCTTTTTCCTTTGCTTACTTCTGAATATCTTTCACTCTTACTTCATGGCTGGCTGGGTGGCTGGCACCTGATGTCCTCTTTTTGCTCTCTCTCATTCCTGGATCCTCAGATCCTCTTCTCCCACATTTCTCCTCCTATTTATTCTCTCTGCCTGCCAGCCCTGCCTATTTCTCTCTCCTGCCTTGCTATTGGCCATTCAGCTCCTTATCAGACCATCAGGTGTTTTAGATAGGAACAGTAACACAGCTTCGTAGAGTTAAATGCAACATAAACAAAAGTAACACACCTTAACATAATATTCCCCAAGAGTCTATATAATTTAAGAGGTCATTGTTTGACAATGTAAATTAGGTTAGTTCTTTATTCTGAATCCTTCAATGATTTCTTATTGAACTTAACCAAACTTCTATGAACATCTATAAGGCCCTGTATGATGCATTTGGTGTGATCTACCTATATAGCCTCATCCCATTTGCATTCACTAAAGCTGACACAATTATTTGAAGCTCAGTTGTTTTATTTAGTCCTTTTATTAGATTAATATTCTACTAATAGTTTTGTAGAGGTAATAATTACAGTTTTGATGTAGAGGATGTATAATGAATGTCACTGTGTCTGCAGAAGGAATAGCCATTGTTTTGAACCAAGATCTGACCCTAAACATTTTTATAAGGCTCAATTGTTTGCCACACTGAATTATATGGTATACCAATCAGTAAGCTTTTGGTATCCTGTCTTTAGACTTTATTATTTTTTAGTTATGTTTTGAGAGTTTTGTGCTAGCCATGGCTGCATACATTTTTACACTACTCAATTTTTCAGACTACATTTTAAAGTAGGCAATATTTACTTCACTTAAGAGAAGCTAATATTTAAATAACAAATTTCTGAAGTTCACATAACTAAAAAGAAGCATATCTAAGATTCCAGCTCTGACATACTGACTAAAAGATGCCTAATTTTAAATACTGAATAATTCCAATTCTCAGGGTAAACATATATCTAATGAAAATGTCTATGAAATGGAAAAGTAAGTAGGCAATACCAGTACCATTTAGTATAGATCAAAGATTCCTACATTTATAGTTTTTCATAGTTGTTACAGATTGCATATTGCTTTTTTGCATGAGTGATTCCTGGACTGCTGTGAACTTTGATATATATTGTATTTGTTTAGCTCCAAGTTGAGGCTCATAGGGATGAGAACTATATCCCACAATAGCCCTCATTTCATTTTCTAACAGCAACTGTACAGTGTTGGAACGGGGTCAGCATCTACAGCATAGCTGCAGCTGAAACCTGAAGCGTCAGAGGGATGCAGACCAAGGGCATCCCGGGATTGGATTTAGTTATACAACAGTTAAATTTAGTTATACAATAGTTAAATTTAACAAAATCTTGTTTCTTTACCTCTTCTTCAGATGTGGGTTCCCTTTACTTGGGTAGGTAATAGAAAAGACACTGAAAGCTTTGTGTTATTCTGGTCACAAGAAAATTGAGTTTAAAGGCCATATAGTGCTGTTTTTATTTGTTTATTGTTACTGTTTACTTTTTTCCATTTGTCCATAGCCTGATTGCTTTAATTAAAAATTTTCTTAATTCTTTTGCATATGAAGATTAGTGTTCAAAGTTTTAGCTGATGCTATAATTTTCCCTAAGAAAAATAAAAATAATTATCCATAATAGAATTTTGAGAAATTGTGTAGTCATCTTTGTAATGATTTAAATGTTTTTGAAACACAGGCAGATGCTCTTTCCCCAGGGAATGCAGAGCTGCCAGTATACAATTATATTGTAACGACATGGATGATGATTTGGTTATGAAACTTTAAAAAATAATTCTTCAGTAATCCTGTAAATGGCCACTGGGGGTGCCAGTAACCATAACAATTTGATTACATTTTTTAAAAAGGATAACTAACATGGCTTTATATT